TCTATGACCCAGGAAGGGGTCCTCCCAGACACCACATCTGCCGGTGCCTGGATCACGGACCTCCAGCCTCCAGGGCTGTGAGACACAAACTCCTGTGGTCCATAAGCCACCGGGTGGTGATGCTTTGTTACAGCAGCCCGAATGGACTAAGAGAGGCCTCTTTCCTTCTCTTGCCACCTTCACTTGAGAAACAAACTTCAACCAGCTGGGGGGGCTTCTAGTAGCGAGTGTGCTGGTCAGCAGGTTGTGGTTGTAGGCTCGATCGCTTGAGTTAACCGAACCTCTTTGACAGGCGGTGTGTATTTTGGCAAGAGAAGGGGAAAAGCCAGTTCCTTCCCTGGACTGGCACTGGATCCTCCAGGAGTATGTCTGAAAGTCGGCTGCAACGCTAAGAGGGAACTAGGACCCAGTGTAAAGTCAGTGACAGAGACAGAGGCAGCCTGAGGGTAGACTAGGGGTCCAGCACCTAAAGAAGTGACCCCACAATACTATGGGTTCTTTGCTCAACCCTCCAAGGCTGGGCCTCTAAAAGCCCTGCACTAATGACCCACACGGAGCATGGCCCGCTGGCCGCTCGCCCACAGAGGATGCCAATCACGGGCCGACTTCCACATCTGGTTGGAGCTAGAAGTCCAGGGTCAACGTCCCTCTTCCTGTCTCAGCCCAGTTAAAACCTACTGTTTTATCTTCTAAGTCTCTCCCCATCCCGCCCATTCTCGTCCAGCGGAATCACTCTCTTTTTCTCTGGTCCCCCTGGCAGCCCTGTGGCAGTTCTAATGGGCTGGGAAGCTTTGACACCTCAGCACCCCCATAATCCCCACTGAAGCCCCCCCCACCACGACATATACCTCCAGCTGCTACAAATAAACAAATTCAAAGTAAACAACATGGTGTAGTGGAAATGTTGCTTCAAGACAAGTTCTGGAGCTCCAGCTTCCAATCCGATTGTACCCCACGTTCCTCCTAAGTAAAAATTCTTTTGTTGTCACTGCTGCAGCCAGACCACTCTTTTCCAAAAGGAAATCTGATCATTCGTCTTGTTTTCTCACATATGCAACTTACAACCCTTGGATGCTATCAGGGAAAGACAAAACTCCTCAATTACCCGGCTCCCACTCTCTAGCCTCATCCCACACCACATCCCCCATCCTTACCTTTCCCAACCCCCCCACCACAGATTTTCATACTTGCTCTGCCCACAGTCCACACTGGTCTTCCCTCCCTTCGTAGCCCATCCTTCAACAATCAGACAACACACCTCTCCCTCAGGGAAGCCCTCCTCAATTCTTATCAGGTCAAATGCTCCAAAGAGAGGCTCTCACGACACCCGACTCCTTGCGTCCCAGCCATATGCCGTAAGTGTGCTTTACACTGGTTTGTGTGACTGTCAGGTTAATGCCAGGCTCTCCAAGGAGTATGTGCCAGAGGTGGAGGCTCACACCTGGTTTCACTCATCACTACACTGTGGCATCTAGCACAATGCCTGGGACAAGGCAAGTGCTCAGCACATTTGCTGAGTTGGCAAACAGATGAAGTGATGGATGGATGGACAGACAGATAAAGAGACAGACACACAATGGATAGACTGGTGGATGGGTGGGCCGGTAGATGGATGGACAAACAGTTGGGCAGACACATGGATAAAAGGAGGACCAGATGGCGGAAGAGCACATTTGCTCCCACGGCCAGCCCCTCTCCAGACCCCGTAATCTCAACTTTTCCCATCTCCTTGGGTATCGCTCTCCAACAACTATCCTGCCTTTTTTATTGTCAACCCTAAAAATCTCAGACCAATCAGTGACCGTGGGCAAGTTGCCTAGCCTGTGTGAGCTTGATTTTTATTCCCACTGTAAAAATAAGATAATTGTATCTATCTCAATAGGACTGTTTTGAAGGTCACATGAGATAATCCACATACAGTGCAGAGTACAACGCCTGGCACACTGTAAACTCCTGATGGATGTCAGATGCTCCCGTGGTTCTTTTCATCATCCATACTAGTACAAACCCTTCAGCCTTCCTTCAGCATTGCTCCTCCCTGAAAATCCTACTATCACAGCACCAAATGGCTACAAACAGAACCCTACCCTGGCTGACTTCACATGCTCAACACCCGCACCAGGCTTCCCTCTACAACTCTACTGAAACTGTGCTCCTGAAGGTCACCTAACCATCACAGGCCATCCTCTGCTGTGCTAAGATTCACGCAGACCTCTGTGACCTCTGGCCCTGTGTCCCACCCTGCCTTCAGCCCCCCTCCCCAGCTATGGTGCCAAGGTTGGCTCCTGATTTTATCTTCCAAAATTTCTGGCTGTTTCCTGCTCTGAGCCCTTCAGTGTGTCTTTTCCTTGTGCCTCCCCGTAAACGCTGACATAGCGTAAGGTTACACACAGTGTCCACTACTCCACACATTTCCTCTTAACAATGCCGTTATTCCTATAGCAATGCCATCTACTCCCTTCTCTGTGGATGGCACCCACCCCTCCAACACAGGCTGTGCTCTGCGTCCTTCTACTTCCTCAGACTTCCTGAAGGTACCTCAAAGCCAATACTTCCCAAATTAGCCCCATCAATCTGTCCTACTCCCTGCTACCTGATTTCAGTTAACGGCCCCGTCACTGTCCAGGACTAATACTAAAAATCCAGGCTCCTCCCACTAGTCGCCTTCAGAGCCCACCCGTTGCCAAGAATTATTTTCTGGGCCATAGTTCTGTGCCTGGATTATGAGCCCCGGAGGGTGTGTAGCTTGCCTTCCCCTCTCCTTTTTCTAGTCTCCACAAGACACTAGAGAATGCAACAGGAACGGAATAAATAACTTCTCAAACTGAAGAGAGGAGAGATCGTAAAGTAACAGGGAACTCTCGTACACTTCTGGTGGGAGCGTACGTTGGTGCGAGCACATGTTGGTGCGAGCACTTTGGAAGGTGATCTGACAAGATCTAGTAAAGCTGGGCATGATGACACCCCACGACCCAGAACTCCGCTCCCGGGTGTACGCCCCAGAGAAACTTTCCCACGTGTCCACAAGACGACTTGTCCAAGAATCTTCATAACAGCACTGAACACATCACAAGAATGAAAAACAGAAACAACTAAAGGTCCACCGCATCCATCAGGATCCTAGCAGGACATAACTGACATGCTCAACTTAGGATAATTTAATAATTATAATAACTCATTACTAATCAAAACCCTTTAAGGGATTATTTGGGATGGGTTGAGCGTACGGAAACTATAAAGGCCAGTTCAGTAGCCCAAAGATAGAAGAGCAGAGCTGTTGCCACTTCTAGATCTGAAAGGAAGGAGGAGGAAGTGATTACCCAAATCTGGGAAGATTGGCCCCAGCAGAAAGGCCATCTTGGAAGAAGCAGTGACCTTCAAGGGAGTAATTCAGCCAGCCCAAGGCAACCCAACAGGGAGTAAACTGGGGGCATAAATACCCTGACTTTTGCTTCTCCCTCTGATTTCGGTTGGGACCGCCCATTGGCTGAATCCAACGGCAAGCCAGAGGGCACCGGCTGTAACCCGTACAGGTCAACCTCCTGGAGCACAGAGCAGAAGGGAGAGAGTGGACTGGAGAGGCAAATGGAAGACATTCAGCGTATCCAGCAACGGAATATCTAAAATGTATACTCATAGAACAGAACATGGCCCTGCGGGAAAAGGAGTGAACTACAACTACATAAACCAATATGGATAAATCTCGGAAAATATCATGCTGGGCAAAAAAAAAAAAATGTGCAGAGGATGGCACCACATTTTCCAAGATCCACCATAGCTAGCTCTATTTCTGGCCCCACATGCCCTTCCAGAACCCTGCCACTCCCCGACTGACTCAGAGCTGCAAAGAAGGAAAAGAAGGAGGTTTTAGGAGAGACAATGACCGGAGAAACCTACTTGATACAGGGCAGCCAGAGAGAGCAGCTGTCCGAGGAGGGAACTGAACTTTACGTGAGGTGTGAAGGACGGGAAAGAGCCAGACCCAGCAGCACGGCTAACAGCTGCGGGAGCAGAGAAGTGCCAAGGCCCTGGGGAGGGCAAGCCTCTGGCTCTCTCAAATGCAGTTCCAGAAAACCACCGGGGCAGGAGAACCGGGCAAGGGAAAGAACGGCAAGCATGAAGCAAGAAAGGTGAGCACAGGCCAGATCCCGCAGGGCATCCGGGGCGACCTCACGGAGGTGACCAAGCTGGTGAAAGCCTGGGAGGGAATTCGACTCCAGGCAGCAGAGAGCCACAGACGGGGTCAAAGAACCAGGCACAAACTTCCTCTTGACTCGCTGCTGTAGGACTAACACGCGCTCGGCACCTGGCCTTGGCCGGACGCTGGGTTACAGCAATCCTTTTAATCTCTTGAGGCTTCCCCATGAGGTAAGTATGAACAAACCCATTTTTACAGCAAGGCCGATTATCTAAATCCAAAGTCCAAGCGCTAAACCCTCACCTGCCTCCAGGCTGCCCTCCCTCTCTTGTCCTAAAGGGTGGATGACTCATTGTAGTAAATAACCGTGATTATGGAGTATATAACACATCGCGGTGAATGAGCACAATACAAACAACCGCCCTAACACGCACCGCCCGCGCATTGAGAGCCATCAGCACCTCACTGCTGAGATGCCCGTTTTACAGATGGGGAAACTGAGGCCAAGCCTTGCAGAGCCACGTGTCCAAGGCGGAGGGGGAGGGGACGTGGCAGCCGAGGCTAATTGCAGGGCCCACGCTGCTATGAACCAGGCTGTGCTGCCTTCCTCTCTCCTCTCAGGGAAGTTGGGTCCAGCCGGCGAGGCTCCAGGGCGGGATGCCCCGCGGGACACTCCGCTCCACGGCGCCCCCAGGGAGCCCCGCGCGCGGGCGGTACGGCCGCTATCGTGGTCCCCAGCCCCGGGTGCAGGCCCTGAAGGGGTCCGGCGGGAGGCGCGCGCAAGCAGCCCAGGTTCCCCCGGCGGGAGGAAGGTTCCGCAGCCCTGAAGTCATCCCCTCCCCGGGCGCGGGGCCGGCGGTACCTGAGGGAAACGCGTCCAGGGTCCTGCCCCGGGCTCTGTGGAAAACACCCCTAGCCTCCGCAGTCGACATGGCGAGCGAGTCTGGCCTCGCCAGGGGACCCTGCGTGGGAAGGAGGAGCGCGAGTCCACGCAGCCCAACCGTCCGGCCCGGTCTACCCCGCTCGGCGCGGCGCCCTCTGCTCGGGGCGGGTGGGGTCGACCGCTCGGGGCGCCGCTAGTGCTGCCTGGCCGGGGCGGCCGCGGGAGCGGCCCCTCTGGGATCGACTGGGACGCCTGGCGAGTGCAGGCCCCGCTCTGGAGCCACGTGCGCGCGCAGAGGGTGCAGGGCTGGGGCAGCCCTCCCCTAAAAGTGGGGTTGCCAGGGTTACCAGTGAGCGTCCAGGATGCCCTGTTAAACAGGAATTTCAGATAGGCAACGTCTGATGGTTTAAGATAAGTATATCCCATGCAATATATGGGATATACTTATGCTAAAAAAATTTTTTTTTTTTTTTCGTTATCTGAAATTCCACTTTAACTGGGGGCCTGGATTTTAGCTGGGAACCCTACCTTGAGGCCAAAAGGACCAGACCCTGTCTCAGGACAGTCTTCTAAACCACAGCTGTGATCTGTGACACTTGATCCCCAGGCTTTGCAGCTTCCCAGCCAGAATCACCGTCATTCCATTATTATCATTATCCCTCACTAAGCATCACACACCCCTCTAAGTTTTGCATGCAGCTCACTTAATCCACACCACAGCCCTAGAAGATGGTGCCGTCATCAGCCACATTTGTCAGATGGGGAAACTGATGCTCAGAGAGGTGGAGCAGTTTGCACAAGGTGACACACTTCTAGAGGGAAGCTGCAACCCACCCAATCTAGGATCTGTCCAGCAAAAAGCTGTTGCACAGAACTATTAAACTGGCATTTGTCTAGCTTGCTCAAAATACAAATTTCAGGGTGGACCTACTGAATCTAAATCTGCAGGTCTGTTTTTAACTCCCCCAGGAGTTCTTATGATCTGCCAAATTTGGGAAATTCTCTTTTTAACTAGCTGCCTACATCTGGACCCTGTTTGGGTAGCTAAAATGACCAGGATCGCTATCCTCTAATCTTAGGCAAGAGGCAGGAAATCACAGTGGTTATGAACCTAAGTGCCTTGGAGTTCTGGAGTCAGACTGCCTGTTACTAATTGCTGGTGGTACGATCTTGAAAATGACTTCATTTCTCCATGTGTCAGTTTCCTATCTGTTTAATGGGAACAATAGCAGTATCTAGGTCATAGAGTTGCTTAAATGAGTTGGTGCATCAGGGGCCGGGCCCTGGCCGAGTGGTTAAGTTCTCGCACTCTGCTTTGGTGGCCCAGGGTTTCGCCAGTTCGAATCCTGGGTGTGGACATGGCACTGCTCGTCAAGCCACGCTGAGGCGGCGTCCCACATGCCACAACTAGAAGGACCCACAACTAAAAATACACAACCATGTACCTGGGGGGCCTTTGGGAGAAAAAGGAAACATTAAAAAAATTTTAAAAAAAAAGAGTTGGTGCATCAAATTGCTTAAACCAATAGGTCTTACTGCAAATGGTAAGTTCTCAAGGAATATTAGCCATTATTATTAGCATTGTTGCTAATCATTCTATCCCCATTGCCTGCATAAGGCAGGGCCCAGCAGAGGGCTATCAGGAAACGTTCGAGGAGGGAATCAGTAAATGAGAATCCAAAGTCCTGATGGTGGCCTCAAGGCCCTGCAAGTTCCAGGCCTCGCTGACCTCTCACCCACTAACTTTCCAGCCGCAGTCTTTTTCCAGTTCCTTAAATGTGCCAATCCATTTCGCTCTTCGTATGTGCAGTTCCTTCTGCTTAGAATGTTTGTGCTCATTTAAATATCAAGGCCCCTGTTGAGTGGCCAGCCCGGTGGCGCAGCGTTAAGTTAAGTTCACAGGTTCTACTTCAGCTGCCTGGGGTTCGCTGGTTCGGATCTGGGTGTGGACGTGGCACCGCTTGTCAAGCCACGCTGTGGTAGGCATCTCACATATAAAGTAGAGGAGGATGGGCACAAATGTTAGCTCAGAACCAGTCGTCCTCAGCAAAAAAGGGAAGATTGGCAGCAGATGTTAGCTCAGGGCTAATCTTCCTCAAAAATAAATAAATAAATAAATCTCAAGGCCTCTGTTGAAATCACACTTCCCTGGAGGAGCCTTCCCCTCACACTTGCTCATACTCTTCAGGTCTGAACTGGGTCTCCCTCATTCTGTTTACAGGCCTCTGTTCTTGACCTGCACCGCCCTTTGTGCTGCTGGTAATTATGTTTACATGTGTAACTGTTTGTTTCCTGTTATCTTTCTCAATGCAACCGGGAGGTCCATGAGGGCAGCTACCTTGACTGTGTTGTTCATCAAGCAGGGTGTTTGAGGCATAGACTCAAGTGGCTGTTGCATGAATAAATAAATGGATTATGACTATTTTGGCAAGATAACCCCATTTTGAACCCGGGCAGTGGTTGGGCATAGCTCTATTGGCCATGATAGGAACTTCAGAACTACACGGGTGCTACTGGGTGATAGTAATGGCTGTGACTACACCCCGTCTACCACTGGTCCAGCAACTTCTTCGCCTCATTGCCTGCCCCATCCTCTCCTCATCACTGTGCAGGTCAGTGTTCCACTCTCCACTGACTGGGCTCTTTCAACCTACATACTCTTCTTTTCAGCTCTCTGCTTGGCAGACAAGCAGCACAAAAAGAGCATCTTCCTGGGCAGCAGGCTTAGCTGTTCAGTCCACTTCCCAACTGTGTGAACTTCGGGACGTCACTTGATCTTTCTGAGCTCCAGCTTCTTCATCTAAAATGAGATAATCATAGCACCAACCTTGTCTGGTTTTTGTAAGGAGTTGATGAAGCTCCAGACAGAGTTTCTGGATCATACTAAGTGCTTGATACATTTTTGCTGTAGTTGATATTGTTAATATTGTTGTTGTTGGGATACCCATCAACTTATTCTTTTCTAGTCAAAATTCTATTCCTCTTTCAAGATTCTGTTCAGGTGTCACCTATTATATCAGCCAGGTGGCATTTCATAGCAAATAACTAAAAGTCAATTCAAACTGGTTTAATCAGAAAAAAGAAATCCATTGGCATATATAAATTAAAATTCTCAGGCAGCTTCAGGTGAGGTTTGATCCAGCTGTCCATAGGATGTTAAAGAAGCCAACTTCTCTCCCCCTATCCTCCCTGCCTTTTGTATTTGGCTTTATCTTCAGTCTCCACAGAGAGGACTCCCTCTCATCACTTAGAAGCTCCAGGCTCCCCCTTCACGGAAGCAGAATGGCTACAACGGTTCCAGACCACACCCTCATAAGACCCCACCTAGTGGGGAGAAGGAGGAAGTCTGTATTTCTCAGAAGCTCCAGCAAACATCCCTTTGCCTCACCGCCATGCCAGTTTGGATACATGCTCCTCTCTGAAGCAAAGTCAGAAGGGTAAATGGCATGTTTAGACTGACTTAAGCTATAGGGCCGCCCCTGGAGAAGGAGTCGTATCGGTGTCATCCAACCACACACCTGAGGATGGAGAGCATAGTGCTCTTAAAACAAGATCTGGACACCATTGCCCTGAGAAAAGGAGAATGGCTAATTAAAAAAAAAGAGCCAATGGATAATCTTCTACATTCCCCATGCACAAGTGAGGGATGGGAGGGGAGAGCATCTCGACTAGTGATTATCATGCCCCCTCCCCCTCCTTTAAAAAAGCCCTTTTTCTCAGCACTATTCACAATAGCCAAGACATGGAAGCAACCCAAGTACCCTTCGGCTGATGATTGGATAACAAAGATGTGGTATATATACACAATGGAATACTACTCAGCCAGAAAAAGAGACAAATTCATCCCATTTGCAATAACATGGAAGGACCTGGAGGGAATTATGCTAAACGAAATAAGCCACTCTGAGAAAGACAAACACCAGATGATTTCACTCATATGTGGAATATAAACAAATACATGGACAAAGAAAACAGTTCAGTGTTTACCAGGAGAAGGGGGTCGGGTTGGGGGGAGGTGCACAGGGGCTGAAGGGGAGCACCTATGTGGTGACAGATAAGAAATAACGTACAACCGAAATCTCACATCAATGTAAACTATTATGAACTCAATAATAATAATAATAAAAAAGCCCTTTTTCTTCCATCTTACCCCTTGCAACAACTAATCCAAACATGCTCTTATTTAGCGATGTGGGTGTATTTTTAAGAACATCGGTCGTTGCCCTGGGCGGTATTATGGCCTCGCCCGCCCCCCCCCCCCCGACGCAGGCAGAACAATTTGTGCTGACGCTCACAGGCCCTGGGCAGCGGAGCGTTTAGAGTTCCGGCTGCTCCTTAGGGATCTCTGCCTCCTCACCAGCAGGCTGGGAGCCGGCCCTTCTCGCTGTTTCTGGCGTCTGCCTCCAGCAAGTCCTCCCGTTTCTCTACCTCTTCCCTCATTTCCCGTCTGCCCAGCTTTGTGTGAAACCAGACGACAAAGGGTGTTCGGATTAAGAGCCAGGTTAGTTTACAGATTGGAGCCAGTAGACTTGGCCCAAGCACCTGAGGCCTCATTTAGAGAAAGTGCTTGGACTTGACTTCAATGGGCATAGTCCTTCCTAGTTAGACTGAGTGATGGTTAATTTTATGCGTCAACTTGGCTGGCCCCCGGCACCCAGATACTTGGTCAAACACTCTGGATGTTTCGGTGAGGATTTTTTTTTGGATGAGATTTACGTTTAAATCAGTGGACTTTCACGAAAGTCCATAATGTGGGTGGGCCTCGTCCAATCAGTTGAAGGTCTGATAGACGCAAAGATGACCTCCCCCAAGCAAGAGGGAATTCAGCCAGCAGGTGTCCTTTGGATTTGAACTGCAGCATTGGCTCTTCCTGGGTCTCCAGCCTGCTGGTCCACTTGGCAGATTTTGGACTGGCCAGCCTTCCTAATTGCATGAGCCAGTTCCTTAAAATAAATCTCTTTCTAGCTGTCTACACATCCTATTGTAGCTGTTCCTTTGGAGAAACCTGACTAATATAGGCTATCAGAGGTCTTCTTTGGAAGTGTTAGAGTCCCAAGGTTGAGCTCATAATTCAAATTGGTATATTACTCTGGAATGCAGAATGGTATCCTGCCGCAGCACCTTTGTGGTATATGGAAATATGAAAGCACAAGTTAATTCCTAAGCAATATGAGCACCAGCTGCCCCTCCCCT